AGCCATGGTGGTGGTTCATGCACAGAATAAGCCCAACTCCCAGGAGCACCTGACAATCCCATCTGAACCCCTGGGGCCAAGGCCAAGTCTAGATGGAACTTTTCTGTTCCTTTGTTTTGAGGGTTATAAAATAGTTCCGCTTGGGTTTCCCTAGCAATTCAAAAAGTGCTGTATTACAGTTACTCTAATAAAACTAAAAGTACACATTTTCTCTAGTCATAAATTTAAGAATCATTCTTGTTTAATGTGAAAATCAAGGTCTGATGCCACTGTAAAGTGAGTGGAACATGGTCATACTGTCACCTGCTTTGCTCTAAGAAAACCTAGCTACTCAAACCAGTTACTGTAAATTATACTCAGAGATTTAATATTTCCTTTAAAAACATTCTGAAAGTTTTAAAATACCAACCCAGCAAGAGAGGACAAGAGATTAATAGGGACAATTATGCTGTTCTCTTAGAAACGCCCCCATCATTGCGTTCATCTCCTGAGTTTCCACTGTACAGAATTTGTGTTCTTATGAGGTCATTCTGTAACCATGAAGCAAATGAGCAAACTTCTCTAGGCTGAGTCTGAGTCTTGCATTCTGCTGTGGTACAATGCTGCTCAGGGTGGCCCTAAGACAGACAGTACTGGCATTATGCAAAGTATCACGTTCTATTTTAGACTGTCTGAATCAGAACCTCTAAGGATGGGGCCCAAAAATTTGTCCCCGTGATTCTTAGGCACATTCAAGTTTTAAACTCCCTGATGCAGCATGTTTGCATCATTACCTTGTGGCATGAATGACATCACAGTCTTCCCACTGATTCTGGAACTGATTCATATTTTTCTTCAAGGTACAGTTTGAAGCTGGGTACAGTGGTACATACCTGTGAATCCAGCAACTCAGGAGGCTGAGGCAGGAGGATCACAAGTTCAAAGCCAGCCTACGCAATTTAGTGAGGCCCTAAGCAACTTAGCAAGACTCTCAAAATTTTAAAAAGGGCTGTGGTTCAAAATTTAAAAAAATTTTAAGGGATGTGGCTCAGTGGTTAAGCACCCCTGGATTTAAGAAAAAGATACAGTTTGAAGGTAGGTCAATGTATTTATAAAGTAAATGTTTATTTATTGATTACTATTTGCTTTTCTGAAGCCTGGGGGGCTGAGACAGGGATTGTCACAATTCCTGGAAAAGACTCAGCTAAATTTTTTAAAAAGTATCTAGTTCTTGTTCTTTCTTCTGAAATTGTCAAACTGGTCATACTGGAAACATAGGAAAAGGACTTTTCTGTTTCTCCCCAGATCTGGGGAAGTCAGTGTGAATTTCTCAAGAACTCTGGAGGATGGGAGCAACACTGGACAGAGCCACAGATGACACCACAGAGTCGCGCAGGACTGAGCAGCATGGAGGCACCAGTGGGCCAGGGTGTGAGGAGTCTGTCCCAGCACTGGAGAGACCTGAGCGATGGCTGGAGCGTGGGATTGCCTGTGAACACTGGTTGGGTTAAGAAGCCACCATTAAAAAGCAAACATTGGGGCTGGGGTTGTGGCTCAGTGGTAGAGTGCTCACCTTGCATGTGCAAGGCCCTGGGTTCAATCCTAAGCACCTCATAAAAATAAGTTATTGTGTACAACTACAAAAAAAATTAATAATAAATTAAATAAATAAATAAATAAAAGCAAACATTGCAGCACAACAACTTTTACAATGCAAAATTTACTAAATATAGTTACCAAATAATTTCTCTACTTTAGATTTACTTCCACAAAATATGGGTCCCTTTCACACTGCTTGATTATTTTCACAACACCAGAGATAATTCCCAAACTTTACAGTTCTTTACCTGTTTCTCTCAAGAGACTTGTCTTTATTTTGGGGGTTGCAGGAGGGCAACTGGGGATTGAACTCAGGGGCACTCGACCACTGAGCCACATCCCCAGCCCTATTGTGCATTTTATTTAGAGACAGGCTATCACTGAGTTGCTTAGCACCTCGATGTTGCTGAGGCTGGCTTTGAACTCGGGATACTCCTGCCTCGGCCTCATGAGCCGCTGGGATTACAGGCGTGTGCTACAGCGCCTGGCAGATTTTTCTTTTTAAAATATCAAACCATGTTTAAAAATCCTGTAGACTTTTTAAAAATCTGAATTATTTTACATGATGACAAAAGTATCTTGCCAACCATCAGGGCAAGCTGGCTAACACTGAAAGTAGGAAACAACTATCACTGGGAACCCATTAGGTTTAACAGTTGTACAGGCTGATCAACTGCTACCATCCATAATGCTAGTGCTGCAAGCAAATAAGGCCATTTATATTCTGAAAGCTCATTTGTCTGTACATCTTACACAGTGAGGTATAAAGTCACGTTTTATTAACTTTTTTTTATTATTAATGTAACAAATAATTTCTTCCACAATGGCAACTGTGGTAAAAAATGCCAACATCAGCCAACCTGCCAACATATCCTATGGTCTTTTAATTAATATAGTGCATAGACAGTTATAAACTACACAACCATACCAATTTATAAGCAATAATTTTGAAATGTTAGAATATAATAAAGTTACACTGCAAATAGTTTATTTTCCTCACATTTTTTCATATTCACATGACCCACATTTTTTTTTAATCAGACTCCATTAAATTCTAGATTTAAATAGAACTAAGCATAAAACAAAATAGCTCTTATCAGTGTCTAAGCCACTTAAAGCTATTCTCTAAAAAATAAGTTATTCAACCCAAGGCAAACATGGAGAAAGTTGGAGCTGAAGCTTTGGTTCCCCATAGTTTGATCTGTTAAACCCATGGGAACTTTCAAGATTCAGTTTTTTAGTAGCTTCATGCCATAAAGGTAACTGTCACTAGTGGAATGTCCATTAGCCAAAGAAAGACCCCCAGACACATTCGACAGGGTGTTCAACCTGCAGAAAATGGGGAGTTTGGAGTGGTATGCAATCAGATTAACACGTTTTTAATCCTTAGTCAAACATAAATATTATACCTAAATAACAATCTCGAAGGAGCTTGAAACTTAAATCATGAACTAACTAACCCTGAAGAACGTAAAGGTTCTATTCGGAATGGAAATGATAACCACTTGGCCAGTTTTCTGCAGTGAATCACAGACTGACATCATGCAGTCAGTTCAGAGACTGCAGTGCTCCTCCCTGAGGCTGTAACAGTTAGGCCATTACCTGACATGTGCTTCAGGACACCCAGTGATAACAAAACAGGTCAGTCCTATGACACACAGGGTTAGGTCTTGTAACTCTGAAGTGTTAGGTAAAACCAATGTTGGGTTTTCCTCATAACTTTTCCTTAAATCCTTTTATTTTCATGAGTAAATCCAGGCCTACTTTGGGCTCTCCATGTTAAGCCTGTGGAAGCTGAAGCTGCGGCTGCTGCTCCATGGCTCTTTTTCTACATTATGGTCCTATTTCTGCTAAATTGTCCTTCAAGTCTTAGTCAATTTTAGTTTTCTAAAAACTCTTATTTTTAGAATACTGAGACTATCAGTAAATTTAAATTAAAAAATTTTTCAATCTTATTTTTCAAATACAACACAATTCTGATATCTGATGCTGGGTGATTTCTGTTCACTTAGTATCAATGTTGTAAAGAGGGTCAACTGAACTTTTATTTAATGAGGTGAGTTTCAACTCTAAAAATGGTAAATTAACCTTTTTTTTTTTTGTGGGAATCTAAAGTGTAACCCTTAGGAGATTATCTTTAAGTTAAAAACACAAAATTAGGCCGATGATGATTAAATACAATGTTAACAAGTACATTGAGCAATAAACTGAAACTTTTTCATTTAACTGACATCTGCTAGTTTTTTATTAAGTATAAAGGCCAGTTAATCAATTCATTAGATTGGTCAAGGCAAGACACCTGAACTACACAACAGAATTTAAAAAGCAGTTGGTTTTGTAGTAGTTCTCTGGTAATCACACACACACACACACACATACAAACAAATTGGTAGAGTACTCTGGATATTAGATTCCCCCATAATCTTGTATAATGCACTGTTCACAATCTGCAGTTTTTTGATAACGATATAAATTGGACATGACCAAATTAGAGATGACTGATAAACTCTTTTGGGAACTTTAGCTGTATTCCCCCAAAGATTGACTTTAAACTAAAAAAAAAAAAAAATCATATAAAAACACAAGATTTAACAGACACTTTGAAAAAAATCAAATTATAACTCAACTGTCTACTTTTTAAATATGACTAAGAAAAAAGTTTTAAGTAGTAATGTCTACATTTAAAAAAATGACAAACTATTAACTGGGTGAATCTGGGTTGGGGGAAAGCTATACAGTATTATTGCACTCCACGAATGTGCAGAATTCCAGAACGTGCCAGCACAGAAAAACTATTTTGCATTGAGGTTTTCCAAGAGGTACAACGAGCCTGCCAAAAAAGCATCTGGTCTGTACTAACAGCTGGCTGTCTTCAGTACAGGCCTTCATAGTGTCAGTCACGCTGCTCTTGCAAAGATCCCTTAATGTCTGAAAGATATACAGAAAGGAATACTCCAATTACCACCCTGCAAAAACTCTTATTAGAAAGTCAACTAACTGATCAGAAAAGAACCGAGAACAACTCTGCTGAGAAAAAGTTAATCAAAACTCCTCTTTCCATATTCACACATTTGGTTATAAGTTTCCTATCTTGAACATGCTAAAAAATTTGTGTACTCTTAGAAACTAATTAGCTGAAGGTATGGAGAGGGTATGTATACTCTACTGTATCAATTCTGGCTATCCACAGTTCAGAGTTTAAAGAATTATATTAAAAGGCCTTCAAGATAAAATTATTAACACAACCTTACTTAACTTTGGCAGGTTCAAACTCTATTGATATATAAATCTTAATGAAGGACACATCCATCTGTTTAACCTTAAATTGAAAACTTAAGTGATAATATGTGTAATATCTACTAACATTCATGATAAGAATTAACAGAAACCCATACATAACTAGTATATTTTTAAGTACTTACAAAAGAGTTTTCAGTGCTGATAGGTGGGGCTATGATCGATGATGCGGAATTGAATCCATGTGCACATTGAGTTTCATTTCATTGTCAAGAATTTGAACAAGTTGTTGCATGGATGGAAGATGACCAGATTCCAGCTTAGACCATACAGGCACGTCTGTAAAACATAAATAGTACCCCCATGCCAAATTAAAGATAGTTCTATAAGAGACATTCATTCCACAAATATTTATCAAGTGTCTATATACTCAACTGGGAATACAAAGGTGAGCAGAAGCTCCTGTTCTTAGGGAGTTTACACTCTAGAAGAGGAAATACCAAGAACTACATAAATAGCTACACCATTAAAATTGTGTACTAAAAGTAAAACTAGAAAGTGCTCTAGTGCTCCACTGCTGACTAGTCAGAGAAGCAATATCATTTAAACTGAGATCTGAAAAGTTACCAAGATAAGAGTGAGGCTTGGGGCTGGGGCTCAGTGGTAGAGCACTTGCATGGCATTTGTGAGGCACTGGGTTCAATTCTCAGCACCACATATAAATAAATAAAAATAAAGGTCTATTGACAACTAAAAAATATTTTAAAAAGGAGTGAGGCTTCATGAAAGCAGGAAACCTCTAAGACAGAGAAGTATAAAAACTAGATGGAAACCCTGCGCAGTGAGTGATCCAAAGGGTAGCTGGAATGAGGTGGAGGGAGACAGAGGGGTGGGGAGAGTTAGACTGGGGTTAACAAACTGCAGCGAAACAAGAAACAAACATTTTTCTAGGAATACAGTTTCTGTCACAGCCATTCAACTCTCATGGCAGCCTGAAGAATGTGCACACTGTGTTTGGGCGAAACTTTATTTATAACACCGGCAGCAAAAACATAGGACACAGTTTACAGACCCTTAACTAGATCTCGCACAGCCTTTTGGCCATATTAAATATTCTGGTCTTTATCTTGGAAAAAGTAGTAAAGCCATTTAATGGATTTGACATACTCAAGTGACAAGATGAAATCTGCATTAAAAAAAACAAACAAAAAAACCCTCTTTTAGAGCAGATATTGGCAATTTTTTTCTGTAAAAAGCCAGATAGAAAATATTTTAGCTTTATGGATCAAGAAATAATATCAAGGGTATTACAGAGGTATAATTATGTAACTAGAAAGAAAAATTTCCATGATTTTTCATTGATGAAACTAAGACCATCAGTTATGAACACAGCTTTGAATTTCATATGATTTCTATATGTCATATTCTTTTGTTGTTGCTTTTTAACTATTTAATTATGTAAACATGGTTGTTAGCTAATGGCCCCTATCTGCAGAGGGCAACAAGTTAACTGCAGCACGAACTAGCATGATGGCAGTGAAGTGAACAGAAGGAGATTTCTGAGCCATTTAGAGGACAGAACTGAGAAGACCTGGTGATTGACCAAACATGGGTAGTAAAGGAGAAGTTGAAAGAATCAAATATGCCAGAGGAGAAGCAAATTAACAGCATAAAGGAATTGTAGGGAGCAAAAGTAATCAAGAGTTTACTTTGGAACAGGTTATGTTTAAGGTTCCTGAGTACTACACCGAGAAAAGATAAGGACCAGACAGATAATGTAACACAAGAAGAGGGCTAACCCTTCAAGAAATTCTAAAAATTCAAGTAGAGGTAAAGACAAGAGAATAAGTTAAAATTTTCTAAATTCTGTTTCCGGATCTTTGATTTTTATCAAATAAACCTCCATATCAACATTAAAGAAAAACAGAAAAGGCTTTTGCTCACTAGAAATCACTTAAAATGTATCACAACATGCAAACTATTCAAAACCTACCATTTAAAGTTATCTCAAATGCACCTGTTGACATACACTGGTTCTCAATCATGTTGCTTAAGAAGAAAACCATCATACATGCATAGACCTAAAAGAAAATATAATGAAGCACAACAGGCAACAAAGTCATTTCAAAGTTAAAACATGACAACTTAAGACCCAGTAATTTTTTAAATAAATTGTATCATTCTTTATTCGTTCAATACTCTTTTAAAATCTGCTTTAAAAGTTTCCACACGACTACTTCTGTTATTCCATAGGTTCAGACAACACCCACAGAGCAAGGAAACTGCAGCACCAATTTATAGCTCTACAGATGTTAAAGAACTTACAGAGGATGCTCACACTATACATAGAATTTCTATGAGACAGCATAATAACCAGTTTACAAAAGAATGCCAGTATAAGTAGGGTTCATTTTACCGTTTTTATAATGCAATATATGAATTCACAAGAGACTAGTGACGTAATAATCAGTAACTTCAAGCATCCAATACAATCTTTTATGTTTCAAACAAATCATTTTAAGTCAAAATAAAAAAGAGGTGGGTGAGAGAGCACTGGCATATTAGTCATTCACTGTGAGAAGGCAAGTGTATGCTCTCCCCAAAGAGGCTAGAAGCTCTTCCCTATGCACAAAAAGGTTTTTTTCTTTTTCTTTTTTAGTTGTAGTTTTTATTTTTATGTAGTGGCCTCATGCACACTAGGCAAGTGCTCTACCACTGAACCACAACCCTGGCTCCCACAGAAGAGTTTTCATTTAGCAAAATTACCAAACTAAAAGTTGGATATAGTGAGAAAGCCAATTCACAGCAAGTTATTTCAGAAAAATGTCTACAGCAGACAAGAAAGAGCTTTCCCTGTGCCCCACTTGAGTTAGGTGGATTTTGATTTCCTAACATCTGGGAACATGAGTCTACTTTCATGGAAATAAAACACAAGGAACTGTCATAAAAGTTACAGCTTGTCGCCGGGCACAGTGGTGCACACCTGTAATCATAGCAGCTTGGGAGGCTGAGGCAGGAGAATCACGAGTTCAAAGCCAACCTCAGCAAAAGCGAGGCGCTGGACTGGGGTTGTGGCTAGTGCTTGCCCAGCATGCATGAGGCACTGGGTTTGATCCTTAGCACCACATAAAAATAAAATTGGGTCCACCTACAACTAAAACAAATATTAAAAAAAAAAAAAAAAGTGAGTGCTTAACAACTCAGTGAAACCCTGCTCTAAAGAAAATACAAACTAGGGCTGGAGATGTGGCTAAGTGGTTGCAGGCCTCTGAGTTCAATCCCCAGAACCAAAAAGAGCTACAGCTTGTAAGAATATTTTTCATAGCAGAACAACAATGGTATACACATCTACAGAGGTAAAATGTACAAAGGACAATTTGGAATCAATTAAGTATATCACAAAATATTATCAGCAGTAAGTGCTCAGCTTCCATTCTTAATCCTTTGAAAATTAACATTTTGTTAATGACAGGGCAGACATACTTCCAACTAGAGACAACAAACACTTGAGGAGTTTATGCCAAGAGTCTTGCCTATTCCTGGAACCAAGTGGTTCCCTAGGAGAAGTACAACTGTGTCAGGAGTCTGGTAAAGGAATTAAGCCTAGAGCTAAAGAACAAACTGGACAGAGGGCTCCACAAGAGAACCTGCCCGGGGGGAAAGCATCTAAGTGATTCCCCACACAGAGATACATAAAATTAGATCCATTTCTGATAATGGTAGAAAATTCAGGGAAACAATGACTTTAAGTAAAATAGATGAAAATAAACATACTCTAGAAAGAATATATACTGTAAGACTCTATATCAAAATCAGGTTATAAATTATTTTGTGTCCAGGTTCTTCTAAAACAATATCTCCCTTTATGCCCCCTAAATAAAAGGGTAAGACCATTACCCTTAAATATATTATTTTTAAGGCACAATGGAAACTGAAGCCAAGCGAAGTTAAGTCTTTGCCCAGAAATAAAGTGACAAAGCTGAAATAACGCACATTTACTAATGTAAATCAGTGACAAGCACCCCATGCCCCAAAGAAAAATCCATTACAGCCTTGTAACTGACAACCTAAGAACCTACAGTAGCCACAGTTATTGAGTCACATACCTTATTCTCCTGGCCCCACTGCCATATGCTAGGAGCTTGCATGCCAAAGAAAGCAAAAGGGTCCTTGCCAACAATGATCAAGCCTATTAATACGAGTTTGAAGATTGACAGGAAAGAGGCTATGTGTCTATCAAAAGAAAAAAAAAAAGAAGCCATAATTTCTCTTTAAAGTTTAATATTCAAGTACATGTATATAAACATTTTCTACAAATCTAAGTTACTAATCATTAAAAAGCAACTAAAGTTTATTGTACAGTTTTAAAACAAAATGTTTAATCTTTTAAGTTAATCTAAAAATAAAATTGAAAGTTATATAAATTGGCCTTTAAAAACATTATCATTTTAAGACAGTACAGAACTTTATATCACTGATCCTCTATAAAATTTTGGGAAGGTGGGGGTATAATTCAGTATTAAAGAATATGCTTAGCATGTGTGAAGTCCTGGGTTCAACCTCTAGTATCAGTAAAAGAGGGGATTCTTAGCCTATTTCCACATTAAAACTACATAAGCAAACACTTCTTTTAAAGGGTTGTCATCTCTGAAACAACCTCAATTCCTTCTTGCAGAAAAAGTCTATATAAGCTTGCTACTTATAAAGTAGCATTCTCTGCATACTACTGTAACCAATTAAGAAATTACAATAATCAAAGAAAAGTGATTGAAACAATTCACAAACGCTTGTAAAGTCAACTAAATTGTTTCCCTTTTAAGTTACTGAAGTTTACTTACCTATAAATTGGTTGAGGGAGGTAATTCTCTCCTTCGATTCGGATGTCTGGGTACCGCTGACTAATAACCCGCATGTACTCCTCAAACACCCGCCTGTAACCTCAGGAAACACTGCAGAAAAATAAGTGTTTCCATTAGGGTTGAGAATACACCTAGATTTATTCTGCAGTCAGAAAAAGGCTAAAAAGTATTACTAAGATTAAATTTCTTTCTCAAGATCCATCATAAATTAATGACTGAACCCATATGATGAATACAGGGAGTTTTCTTCCTTTTTACAAATTTAAGTTACTTTACCTTCAAATAACTGCTCCCCCATTATAAAAATCAAAACTTTTATAACTTTGGACTATTGTTAGACAACAGCAAATACCTATTCTCTCTCTCTCTCACACACACACACATACACACACATATTCAGTATAACTCACATATCACTTTGGCCTTTAAAAAAAAATCAGTTATATGAAAACAACTCTCATTCATCTGAAATAGAACTTTTAAATATGGGTTGCAAAAGTTTATAAAGAACATCAAGGTATGAGACATGAAACTGGCTTTCATTCCACTCTGCCCCAACTTGGGTAAGTTAGTTTTGCACAATCATAAGAGAAACTTAGGCTGGACTATTAGATCCCTTCTTATGCTAAAATTTAAATCTACTTTGTGAAGGAAAACAAAGACTGGGAAGGTAATTCTCAGCAACATGAAATGACTCTGGAAATTAAGCCAACAGCATCTAATCTTCTCCATGACAAAAGTCTCTAAGCAATTTACTTTCAGATGCAAGCTGCCCCAGCAAGAATAGGAAAAGATGCTACCAAGAGCATATCTGGAGAAAAGGAGAAAAAGAGCTTGCAAATTCAGGCAAACTGTCAAGCACTTAAGTTTACTAGGTTCTCAATTAAGGAATACATAAATACCATAAAGTGACAAAGTCACCACTTGGTACAGAGGAAGCAGGGTCAGTAAGTTACAGTGGAGTAAAACCTAAGAAAAAAACCCCAATGACCACCATTACCAACCCAAGTTGGAAAAGCAGAGTTTATACTGTGATAGGGTGAAACAATGTAAATGTTAGTAGATCCCATGTAAGAAAACCTGCTTTTTAAAAAAAGCTACACATGGTGGTGCACACCTGTTAATTCCAAATCCCAGCTACTTGGAGGCTAAGGCAAGATGATAGCAAGTCTGAGGCCAGCCTTGGCGACTCAGTGACACCTTGTCTCAAAATAAAACAAAAAAAAGTGAGGTTGGGGATGTAGCTCAGTGGCAGAGTGCTGGCTTACCATGTCCAAAACCCTGGGTTGATTCCTAGCACTTCCAAAAGAACAAAACAAGGCGGGGTGGGGGTGGGGGGCGCTCAGTGGTAGAGGGCCTCTCAGTTCAATCCCCAGCATCAAAAAAGAGTGAAAGAGGACTGGGGTTATAGATCAGCAGTAGAATGCTCACCTAGCATGTGGGAGGCCCTGGGATCGATCCCCAGTACCACATAAAAATAAATAAATAAAGGTATTATGTCCAAATACAACTAAAAAATAAGTATTAAAAAAAAAGAGGGTAAGACAAATTTGACTGTCATTCTTTAGAGAAAATATTTCCTTTATTGTTAGAATGAAATTTTTTCAAGAGTAAATCTCTAAAAACATATGAATTTTTTTCAGAGATAAACCTGGCGTACACAACATCTTTGTTTGTATGTGGTGCTGAGGATGGAACCTGGGCCACAGGCATACCAGGTGAGCGCACTGCCGCTTGAGCCACATCCCCAGCCCTCCAGATGCCTTTTCTAACATCCACCTAGCCTAATATTATTATTACATTATATTTTTTATTCTTTTTAATCAATATCCTGAGCTTTTTTTCTGAGTTCATATTACTAATCTGATGTAATTCCAAATTTATAGAGTAAGAATGGTGCAAAGATCCTAGGTAAATCCTATACCAGATCACCAGGTATTAGTATTCTGCCATAAGTTTCTATAATAAAAGTTTAATATTTCTTTTGTTCTGAAGCTATTACAAAAATAACCTAGACAACCTTAAGCCTAACCATCTTAAAAACCAAGAAATGCCACCTGATTTCAATGCCCAAATTGGCACTGGTGTGCTGATTATCTAAAATAATAGTATTTAACTTTTTTTTTGTACCAGGGATTGAATCCAGAGGCAGCTTAACTACTGAGCCCCATTCCCAGACCCTTTTTCAATTTTAAATTTTGATTCAGGGTCTCACTAATTTGCTTTGGGCCTCACTAAGTTGTTGAACTTGTAACCCTCCTACCTCAGCCTCCCGAGCCCCTGCAATTACAGGTGTACACCAAAGTATTTAACTTTTAATGCAATATTTGAGAATGAGAGACTTGGTTAATTTAGTTGAAACTTCTTTTTCATAGATGAAAGGGGAGAAAATGAAGCCCAGAGAGATCAAGTAACTTTTCCAAGTATACATTCATCTAAGATTTCACTTGTTCAGTTATCTATGGAACGCCTATCACACATCAAGCACTGTAATTAGGCAGTGGTTTTTAGCAGTTGACACTGATAGATGCTGCCCTTAGTATCAGGACTGAAATATAGCCGGATTTTATGATTCGGGATCCTGGGCCTTTTCTACCTGACACCAAATACAACAGCTACATGAAGAAGAGCCATCCTTTCCTGTATCTGGGAAGTCTGCTCCCCTTCCCCACAGTGCCAGCACTGGGTACCCACAGAGCTGGACTCTGGACTGCAGAGATCTTTGAGGCTCCTTCATGATGACAATACAAAGACTCTCCACATAGGAAAGTCAATCTTGTGGGCTCCCAGCAGTACCTAAAGGAAAGAGGCCCAGCTGGAGAGGCGTGTCTGAGTGCAGGAAACACTGCTGGTCAGACTCCTCCCAGTGACCCACTTTCTCAGCTATGTGCTTAAAAGCCTAAATCGACCCTTTGTTCTTCTAATTTCAAGTCTTCAGTTAAGTTTCAGACCTTGCATGAAATTCCAAATAGAAATGGCCTGTAATCTCACAGTCCAAAAAAAGATTTTAGGCTAATACTTTTCTATTTCTGAAGAATGAAGTGTTTCTGAGGCTGCCACACATGGTTTGACATGTTGCTTGTGCAATTCCTCTTTGTATTTGCCTTCAGACTAGTGAAGAAAAACCAAAGAACTTTTTTCCAGTACAGTTGTTTTCCCCCCAAATAATTTTCCCATCTTAAAAGCACTAATCATGACTACAAACAGATGTTTTCCAAGATGAAACATACCTAGGGCTTGCTGAGGTGGCCATCGCTAAATTTTTTACAGTCACAGATGGTAAAGAGCTAGTAACCATTTCACCTCTGGCATCAAACCCAGCTCTAATTACTCCACTCACTCTGGCTCAAGGAGTACATCTAATCCCATACATGTGAACATAATAAAAATGCAGCAATGGCTGTCTATTCCTGCTGCCACCAAAGGTTCTTGAAAAATAAGTCTAATTCTTGAAAAGAAATCTTAAAGTCTCACCACTTTGCAAAACCCTTTCTAGTAATAGAGACAACTTACTATAAAGGACTCAAATATTGCTACTGTTTGAGTTAAAATAGTTTTCCCACAGTACTTTCCCTAAAGATTTTGCAAATATATTAGATGTAATGTAATGATCAGAAAGGAAGTTTGAGGAACAGAGAAAAAACTCTTGTCCATGATATTTCAAACAGATACTGTGCTTTTAAAGTCCATCATGTCTCCTCATTCACAGTACCAATAATTTCACTTCTCTCTACTACATCTGCTGCTAACTGAAGTCAAATATCTACTTTCATCAAACCCAAACCTGTCCCACACTCCTACCTTTCACAGCCCCCATATTAAAAGAAAGACTGGGGCTGGGTCTGTGGCAAAGTGGTAGAATGTGGTAGAATGCGTGCCCCACATCACAAGGATCTGGTTTCGATTCCCAACATTACAAAAAAAGAAAGAAAAAGAAAAGAAGATACCATTAACAAAATCGTAGACACTGATTGCTATGAAGTAAATACTTGTGATTTTCTGTTTTCGTTATCTCTTCTACTCACCCTTCCCCTTTTATTAGCAATATCCACCCCACCGCCTGACCTGCTACAGGATTGGGTCCTATTTACATGAGACCAAAACCTAGCACATGTTCCAGAAATGCAACCTTCAGGAGAAGGTCCACAGCTTCTTTTCTAGAAAAGAAGAATGTTGATTTTAAAATGTGACTAATAAGTGACATTTAACACTAGTCCTGCTGGATGGAGGAAAGTCAATCTTTCAATAGGACTGAGAAGAGAAGATAAGCCAAACTTCAGAGAAAAAGTGTACATTTTACTGAGTAAAGTACAGATATGAATCAGAAATGTGAACAAAGCCTTCTCAGGTTTTTGAGTTCCCCATTTCAGTCTTTGATGCCCTGTGGCTTCTGCCTTTGGGCTCAAGACCATTCTTTTAGAAATCTTTAAATGCATTCCCAATCACTGTCTATCCTCATTCAAATAGGTTTCTACTACTTGCATCCCAAAGTTTTCAACTAATATTTTCTGCACACCTCTAAGAAAATCATAAAGATGTTTTACAAATACTAGTTTCTGTCTACAGCACTAATCATCCCTAGCAGCTCTTTGATTATTGAAAACTGACTGCTACATTTTTAGATGTCTCCTTGTTGTGTTTGGTATAAGGTAGTAACAGACATCATGTGGAGCACATCACTTGCTCTAAGTGTTTTAAGCAATAAAATATGAACAAGGTGCTCCATAAATCACACAAGAAACAAGATGCTCAAGGAGCAAATAAGAAGCTAATCTGATAAATTACTTTTTTAAAAGATGCAAGCAGCTGGAGAGGATTAGGAGAGAGAGTAGAATTAACTGGTCATAACTTTCCTAGCCTTGTGTTTATATACATGACCAGGGTGACTCCACTTCATGTATGACCACAAGAGTGGGAACCTAACAGAATAAGTTATACTTACGTATATTCTGCCAAAATACATTCTACTGTCATGTATAACTAGGAAAAAAAAGGATGCAAGCAGAATTTCTCATACACTTCAGACTAAGATTAAAAAACATAAATCAGAACATGTTCCTTTTTCAATTTTTTTTTATTATTATTTTTTT